CCTATAGTCCGGTGCGCCTTATGTGTGTGTTAAATACAGAAATGTGACACATAACTGAGAGTGCGCCCTATAGTCCGGTGCGCCTTATGTGTGTGTTAAATACAGAAATGTGACACATAACTGAGAGTGCGCCTTTTAGTACGGTGCGCCTTATGGTCGTGAAAATACGGTAGGTCAAAAGCAGTTTTATTACAGTAGAAATGGGAAATATTTATTGGGAAATTTGCAGTGGGGTGTGTTTTGAAAAGACTTCTTTAGTCTAAATAAAAAAGCTGGTTAAGTTTGGGTCATAATGGTGAGCCACATGGCGCAATTAATATGTCTATAATGTGAGGCTTTTATTTTTTAGAGTCCCTGGAGAGTTACTTTGAAAACCTCTTTTTCCCAATAATTAGATGAAAAGATGCTTTATTAAAGTGGCAATGGTTGGGTTTTATTTGAAATTCAACTGTTCTGTGTTAACTTACATGGTTTAAACTCCTACAGGTGTCAGAATATGGTAGATCCTCCATTTACTTTAGGGTAGGATCAGCTGCACCTCTATTGATTCATAGAGAAGAGCTTAAACTGACTTCAAAGGTCCCGGTTCCCCTTGTTGATGACATCAAAACGAGCGGAACTCTAATGCTCATTCACACCAAAGGTGTTACAGGCATTAAAAATGCTCAAACAGGAAATCTGAATGCTAGGTCAGATGCTGTCAAACTGTGGTGAAGTTGCTTTGATAGTTGATTGCTCTGGCTGCTTGGCGCTGTTTATATGCTCTGTTCTGTAGCTTCATGCTTTTCCAACTCATAAAGTTTCCAACTCATAGTTAACTTTATGAGTTGGAAAAATTATTTTAACATGTTTTTAAGCGTTATACCTCCTGACATAGAGTAACCTCGGGTGTAGTAAGTTCATCAGGATTATGACCATACTAAATTATGCAGTTCTTGTTCGGAGTGCCAGATCTCCAGCATACCACCGGGATGCAGTGCTGGAAATCCCAGCTGGGAGCTCTCTGCAACTGCCAGCCTGTTGAGGATTTCACTCTGCCATTCATAGTGGCTGAAAGTTAATAGAGTTTTTAAGGTTTGTAGTCAAAAGCTGCAAGTACCGGAATATACAATTGAAAAGTTTTCATGGACAACAGCAATCCATTCTTCGGGCTTTTATTTTTTAACCTTTGGAATTGAACTTATCTTTCATATACAGAATTCTGCAGAAGCGATGACAGCTTGCAGGTGTTGTCTGTCTCCCAAAAAAAAAACCTCTGGATCAGCTTTTCTGATTGATTGATGTTCCTGTGTCCAGCGGCAAAAGTTCAATTTAGTGAATTCCATGGTTATAAGGTTGGGCGCCAGAACTCTTGAAATACGCCCCTCCCAATGCTCGAATGCTCCGCTGGACCCCTAAACGCTGTCTCCCGTAGACTATGCATGTAAATCAGATGCTTTAATGCCAAGAATGTGCCCGGTGTGAAAGCAGCATAACAGAGGATAAAGTGCAGTTACTTTGGTCCTCCAAGTCTGTAGGCTTTTGAACATTCAAAAACGGTGTTCAAAAAATGTTGTCAGAGTAACAGCTATCCATTGTCTTTGATTGTGGTTAATTTCATATCTGTAGCTCATTCACAAGCATAATGGGAACAACAAATCAAAAAGTTTTTCAAAAATCCTTGTGTGGTTAGATTACATTGAGTTCCATGTTAGAGATGACCGATCAGATACTCTAAAACCCCTCCAAACAAATCAGTGCTCTGCAAAAACCAAGAATGTCCTCAATTTTACTTCATTTGATACCTGTATGTCTATAGAAAAATATTTAGAATAATGTAAATATAGTTTGTCATACCTGTGTTTGTGCTCATCTCTCGTAGGGATGTATGTTAACAGGTGGGTAAAAACCCCTCTGCACAAATTACTGCCCTACAAAAACCATAAATGTTATTCAAAAAATGGTTTTACCGTGAGTGAGAGCCATTCCTCTTCTTTGATTTGGCTTAATTTCATCTCTGTATATCTTTCAAATTTGTAAAATACAGTATATGTGAATCTATAAAATGAAATTCTCTGTCATTTTGTGTGAGCAAACCTAATCACAACTACATATCTGATTTACAAGCGCAAAGTACATTTGACAGGAGTTTGAGGCCATACTTGATGGCTGATTTTAGAAAAACTGTAGCAGTGATCAATATACAGTTTCCAGTTTTTGAAAGATTTATATACAAATGGAACTTTAAATTGTGTTTTTAGGTTAATGTATGGTATTGTAACTTTATCACCTATAAAAGAACCGGCACCCATGCTGAGACCAAGCCGGACGTTCTGATACCTATATTGTGTGGGTTTGTCCTATGGTTCGGGCCGCATTAATGTTGACAGAAGAAGAATAAACATAATAAACATAGAAATAAAGAGTCAGTTAATAGGTGCCTTCATGCAATTACATTGCGATGGCAGGTACCATTTAAATAATTAACTTTAAGAGGTCAAAATAACACTGTCAGTTGGATACAAGGTTTATTCACTGCATCATTTAAGCTGCTTCTAGCTTGAAAAGTGACTTAAATGAGTATGTTGTTGCAAAAGTGAAAAGGTATTTTATTACTATTAGTATGTTGGGGTTTTTTTATGTTTAGAAGGTTTTAAAAATACATGTTTTTACTACAAGTTATAGTTGATACTACAGATTTAAAAATAATATATTTAATGATAATTACAAAAAATCTTATTACACATTTCTTATAAGCACTACTTTTCCCTTACTCTTCTGAACTCCTCTAGCACCACCTGGTGTCAAAACCTTGAAAATCAATAAGTTAGCTGACAATCTAATGCTGTATACTGTAGGATGTATGTTAAGCGGGCAGTTACCATATATCATGTATGTTAGCTGTAAGCCAAGATTGAAAATTTAAAAGCCTCTTTTGGATGTTTTCCATGGCCGTTTATTTATTTATTTTTTTCCCTTCCAGCTTTTTATTGTCATTACACTGTCACAAGTACAGAGCATGAACTATCTGCATTTAACCCATACCCTTGGGGGGCAGTGGGCTGCCATTGTGCAGCACCTGGGGAGCGCTGTGGGGATAAGGGTCTTTGCTCGGGGAGCCAGAGTGTCAGTCTGTGGGAGTTGGTCTCAAACTCAGAACCTCTGGATTCCAAGCTCTATGCCCTAACCACTAGGCTACAACTCCCAGATCAGTAACATAATCAAGGGACTTTCGGCCCTGTGTCACTACAACACCATAACAAAGATCTTTGCTATGAAACAGTATTTAGATCAAACATTTTTAGATTTGGCTGGAAATCAGAGTTTTCTGCTTTTTATAAGTGTAGGAGAAAAACATAAACCAAAGCCTAAAAAGACATAACAACCAGGTTAGGTTTTTAAGGCCATTTACGTTAATAACTGTCAAAGAAGTAATTTTTTATCATTTCTGATCATTTAGTTTTGCATTAAAAATGTATAATTGATGTCCCTTTCTTAATATTGTATAACATTAATTACTTCTCAGTTTTTGATAAAATTACGTTTTAAACTGTATGATTTGTTGATAACTAATATTTACCAATATTATATGTTTCTCTTTCCTTTGGATATAATGAAAGGCAGATCACAGCACTGACATTATTTTAGCTAAATGCCCACAATGCTGAGTTTTACCACAATGAATGTCACATGAACAAAAAAATACAACATGACCAGTTCTCTTCCCACATTGAAATACATGGAAATAGATGTTGGCTTTTTTTTAATATCCGCCCAGTTTCTCGTATCAAACGGACACAGATAAACTTAAAAAGAACGAACATTTGCCAATATTGATAATTATGCTAATATACATCTATTTCTATGTTATGTTTAAACCACTTTTTAAATATATGTTTTTTTTGTGTTCAGGTCCCAAGGAATCACCTAAATGTGTACGGGGATATGGTTGGGTGGCCGCCATTGTAGTTTTTGTTGTAGCGGTCATAGTCCTTTGTATGAAAGGTAAGAGAAAATTATTCAAATTATTTATGTAATTTTTACTTTAAAGGGACCACATTTCATAGAAATAATTTAAAGAACAAACAAGATGGCTAAAAAAAAGATGGTATTAGACATTGTCATGCTTAAATGATAATATTGTTTTGTACCATCCCTAGGACTATTTCAGGGGAATTGAAGCCTCCAAAAACTGTTCTCAATGAACCCATCCGCCAACTAATTTAGTGTTTTTTTGTATTTAGTTTTTCTTTTCTTTTTTTTTTTTTACAAATAATTGTTGACTAATGTGATATAATTTTTTTAGAATATGATTTTAAATAAATCACACAACCTGTCATTACTAACTTAATTATGATAAATATATCTGTCAGTTTTCCTTTAATTCATAGAGTAAAGGGAACCTGATCAGTGCAATTAATTCCAATTGTTCTTATGGATTTCACCCACATCACTTTAAATCCAGTCTATCCCTGTAACTCCTCAGCATGGAAGGCATAGTTAACTCCAGCTGTGAGGAAGCAATAATAATCAATTATTGCTTGATTTTCAGAGGGTTTGCTCCTCTCGAAAACATATACAAGCATGTTAGAATGCATTGAGCTGATCTTT